ATTTTTATTTATATAGTACAGTTTTTAAAATTATTACAATAATTATTTAAAAAATCGATTTCTTCGAATCTATGGGCCAATGGTTGAAACGCCTGGACATGTATCCTTTTTTTTTCGTTCAAGAACAGTCTGTATAAAGCGCAAAATCCCTGACCGTCATCTGATGTTTTCCTTGTTAGTTAAAAAAAAAAAAGTTAATTTATCCAACCCTGCTAATTGGTTTATAACATCTCAAGCACTAGCTTAAAGTTTGTTCGAGTCGCATATTTTAACATGCTCCAACATGCTTCTGCCATAATTCCTACTCGTTATAATGAGTGCATTAGAGTGAGTAGAAGCTATGATGGAATACATTGGATATTGTAGTATGCACCGCGAACAAACCTTTAAAGTCTTGAATCTTGAGCAACGTCTATGAATTCCGCCCTTATGCCCGTATTCATAGGGCGTGTTCAAATTGACAAAACGACTAGTCTGCTTACAAATGATTAGTTATTATTTATAGATCCAATCAATTACATTCAATTGCTCGGCTAGCAGCTTTGTTCGACTTAAACGCGCTCATTGTCAGGTCTTATATTTGAGGCTTTCTTAAATTAATCTTCAGATTCTCTACGAATTATTTTATTGGCTACTGAGCATTTAAGGCCGATTTATAGTCGAATCTTATAGCGTTTTCGGCCCGACCAAGTTTGTACCAACTTGGGTTAGAAAATGCTTCGGTATTAGTTGACGTTACACACTCTACCAATAAGAGAGCACGAAACATTATTATTTCAACCCACGTTGATGCAAACTTGATCGGATCAACTCCATTATAATCAAGATCATCTTAAGTACAGTCTTAAGAAGTCACGAACCAATCATAGGGCCGTATTAGCATCTTAAAACATTACTTAAGACAGTCTTGAAATAAGAACGGACTATGAATGAACTGATTTAAAGATTAATTTAATGTTAATGATCAAGTTTTCTCGATGCACTATCTATTGACACATGCGCAATCTATTGGCTATCTTATTGGCTGCGTTCAGCCAATAAGATAGCCAATAGATTGCGCATGTGTCAATAAACAGAGAAAATTAATCAATTGCTCTTAGTGATTTTTTAATATGATTGTTCTTTAATTCTTCGTTGGATCTAAGTGTAGGAACCAATTATATTAAAGAATCATTAAGCGCTAACTGATTAGTTTTCTCTACTGAACGCAACCAATAAGATTGCGCATGTGCCAATAGATTGCGCATGTGCCAATAGATAGCGCATCTTCAGTGTTTCGCTGTGCTTTATGCACGTGATTGTATTTAACCTTGTACGTTGTGTTAAAATTGTATTTAATTTTGAGAAAAATGAGACAGAAAAAAGTCTCGAAGAGGAAATATGTTAATCCGAAATTAAAAGAAAATAAAAATGAAACTGAAAAGGATGTACATGTTTCACATAACGCAAAGGTATTGTTTATTGCATGTGTTACTTATTTCTGTATATTCTCTTGTTTATTTTTTTTTTACCTAATTCAATAATATAAACGTAATAATTAATGTAATATATTATAATAAAATATTAAATATATATTTTCTAATTATTTAGAATTCTCATATGGAAGATTTGATAGCAGCTCAAATAAATGTTGACGAAGATGCTACAGATGATGAAGTAGAAGACATAGTTATATCTAGTTTAGATGAAGAAGTAGAAGAAGACAAAGTTATATTTGATTCAGATGAAGAAGTAGAAGAAGATGAAGGTATATTTGATTCAGATGATAACGATGATACAGATGATGATAACGATGATTCAGATGAAGATAGCGATGATTTAGATGGAGATAACAATGATTCAGAGGAAGATAACGATGATTCAGAAGACTTTGAGTCAGAAAGCAATTGTGAGGAAGTACAAGAAGATTCACCAATTAAATCAAAAGATAATAAACTAAAAAATAAGAATAAAAGTAAAAAATCTTTAACATTTAAAGATAAAACATTAACAAAAGAAACTACATCAGTAATTAACAAATTAAGAAATAATAAAAATCACAAGAATTTTGATAAAGCTCAGATGCATAAAGTACATAATGAACAAAAAACTAACATATCTACTGCAAATGATGAAGATGAATATGTATATGATAGTTCTGATGAAGAAGATATTCGTAACACAATTGGGAATGTACCATTAAAATGGTACAATGAATATGATCATGTTGGATATGATTGGGAAGGTAAGAAAATTCTTAAACCTGAAAAGGGTGATGAATTAGATAACTTTTTGAAAAGAATGGAGGATCCTAACTTTTGGAGAACTATAAAAGATCCTCAAACTGGTCAGGATGTTGTACTGAACGAAGCAGATATAGATTTAATTGTAAGAATCCAAAAGCAGAAAATTCCTGATGTTCAATTTGATGAATATGCGGTGAGTTATTGATAATATATTATTTATAATAATTTAATTCATGGATTATTGTATGCTATGTAAGAATATGGTTTTAATTACTTTTATTTGTTATGAATTGTAGCCATGGGTAGATTGGTTTACTTCTGAAGTAATGAAAACGCCACTTCGTAAATTCCCAGAGCATAAACGTTCTTTCTTACCATCCAAGAATGAAGCTAGAAAAGTATCAAAATTAGTACATGCTCTTAAGATGGGTTGGATGAAGTCTACTGTCCAAATGCAGAAAGAAAGAGAAAAAAATAAAGGACCTCAATTTTATATGCTATGGCAGTCTGATGATCAAGCAGAGGAAATGCGTAGAATTCATAAGCATATTCCAGCACCCAAAAGACATTTACCTGGCCATGCGGAAAGTTATAATCCTCCACCAGAATATCTATTTGACAACAAAGAACTTAAAGAATGGAATAAATTAAAGGCAACTCCGTGGAAGAGGAAATTGCATTTTATACCACAGAAATTTAATTCTCTTCGAGAAGTACCTGCATTTCCAAGATATGTCAAAGAAAGATTTCAGAGGTGTTTAGATCTGTATCTGTGTTCTAGATCATTAAAGATGAGACTAACAATAGAGCCTGAAGTTTTGGTTCCACAATTGCCTAGTCCAAAGGACTTGCAACCATTCCCAACAACTATGTTTATGGTATTTAAAGGACATACAGATATGGTCAGAAGTATTACTGTCGAACCAGAGGGTCAATTTATTGCATCTGGTGGAGATGATATGTTATTGAAGAGTGAGTTATTTAGTTTATCACGCATATATTTGCATATTAATTTATGTATTATACAATTGTAAATTTCTCATTTTACATATAGTTTAATATAAATTGTTATTTTAACAGTATGGGAAGTGAATACAGGCAGGTGTTTGAAAACAGTGCCTTGCGGCGGTGTCATTCGAAGTGTTGTCTGGCGTCCAAACCAAGCTATGTCATTGATAGCAGTTGCAGCTGACAAAAAAGTACTTTTAATAAATCCTGGAGTTGGAGATAATCTCATTACCAGTAAAACTGATCAACTTTTAGAGATAATACCACAGAGTGAAATAATAGGTATTGTTAGTTAAAATTACCAAATTATTTATGATTTATTATGAAGGTAATTTTCAAATATGACTGATATACTTCATGATGTATTAGTGAGTGACAGGGTGCAAAGTGCAGTACAGTGGGAGCAAGTGGAAGGTGATCATTGGAATAATGGAGTTAGGATAATTCTGAATCATTTTAAAACTGTAAAGCAAGTAACATGGCATGGAAAAGGAGATTATTTTGCTACTGTCATGCCAGATGGTCAGAATAGATCAGTTTTGATTAATCAGCTATCAAAACGAAGATCTCAATTACCTTTTAATAAATCAAAAGGATTAATACAATGTGTGTTATTTCATCCAATTAAACCATATTTATTTGTTGCAGTAAGTATTAGCAATCGAAATATACAATAGTATTAATACTTCAATTTTATAATGATTTTGGTAAATTATATCTTTTCCAGACACAAAGAAATGTAAGAGTGTACGATCTTGTACAACAGATAATGGTTAAAAAATTGTTGTCCAATTCACAATGGATATCATCAATGGATATTCACCCAGGTAAGCTATTATACGTTTTATTATTGATTATGTTTAAACCATATAATCATTATTGCTATGAATTTTTTAGGAGGTGATAATATTTTGGTAGGGACATACGATCGCAAAATGCTTTGGTTCGATTTAGATTTCAGTAAAGAGCCTTATCAAACATTGCGATTACATGGAACTGGCGTACGCGCCGTAGCATTTCACAAACGATATCCTCTGTTTGCTTCTGGAGCTGATGATAGGGCACTAATTGTATCTCATGGAATGGTGTACAAGTAAAATATCTCTGCATACTCATTGGCATATATTTAATTTTATACATATAATATATGACTCTTATATTTCTTTTCTTTTTCAGTGATCTTTTACAAAATCCATTAATTGTGCCATTGAAAAGATTGTGTAATCACGAATCATATAATGATTTCGGTATTTTGGATGTCATATTTCATCCTATTGAACCATGGGTATTTTCCGCTGGTGCCGACTTTACTATACGAATGTATACATAAATGCATGTTAGAATGTTCAAAATATCTTGTAGGTCATGTTACTACTGTGAAAAAATTCATTTATCATATTTTTCCCCAATTTTATGTAAAATAAAATACATGTCTATTTTTTATGCATTTTTTTACTTCGTATAAATTTCCTTTATAATAAACATGATTACATAAATTGTAATTGCACATAATAACAAAATGTAGGAACTTGTATACTTGCATTAAAATTATACTTAAATATGAGACATTTTATTAAACTTTATTTTTTTATAACAATTGCCCTATCAGTTAAATATATAGTTACAAAAAGATTAAATTATTTTATAAAAGCAGTGTCTACTGCTCTTGTAAAATAATTAAAATGTAAAAGTAAATAAATAATAATTGTGCTAATTTGTATGCTAAATTGTGACACACTGACGGAATTTTTCTTTCTCTTCCCTAATATGTTCATATTCGATTTTTTAAATCGATTAATATAACATATTAAGATAAAGGAGAATGTCCCAAACATTGCCATTCGGGCTCGCCGCAATCACAGGTGCGACCTGCATGTCGAACTTGGAATACAGTAACGATACCTCTGCTATCGTCAAATCTACATGTAATGTGCAGATCATGTATTAAAAAGGTATAGAATTGATTACCTCCCCATCTTTGCCTTAAATACACTGATCTAGGATCTTCCCTTAGTACATTTTCTATAGCTTGTTTTTGCTCGTCAACTTTATCATCTAAAATTTCATTTAGTTGCATCAAAGCGCGTTCGTTGAAAATTACGGATAATGTTGCTGTACGAGGTTGCGAAATCCAATCTGGTATTCTTATATCGGAAAAGTTACTCTCCGTTGCTGCATTTATTGATGTAGATGATATAGCTGTTGCAGCGTGAATATCCGGTAAAGTGTGTGAGGGTGTCAAAGTTTGAGACTCAAGTCCCTCTTCTCCATCGGGTGCTTCGCGTATTCCCATTCTCACAGGAGAATTATCGACTCTCGCATGTAATACATGACGATTGACTAAATCTATATCGGTACCGCACACCGTGCTTGGTCCATCTGCTCCATCCAATAATCTAGAATTACGTAATGTCTGATTTTCAGTATAATTAATTTCATTATCGTTATCTCTTTCCATTCGCGTTGAATCTGTACTACTGGAATTATTTATATCTATTCTATGTACTCTACTATTTAAATCTCTAATAGAGTCTATTTGTGATTCGGCTATTAAAGTTGCATTATGTTCGACAGATGGATCCAAGTCTGATGTTGTGTTAGACGCTCTATTTTGAATAAAGTATGCTCCTCTGTGCACATCTACATTAACGTCATTTTGTAACCAAGTATTAGCATGAGTTTCTGTCAATTGAGAAGATTGTTGTCTTGCAATATCATAGTCATTGAGATTGGGATAAGCTTGAAATTCTTCTGCTTGGAGTCTCAAAGCTATTTCCTCGTCTCTGGAAATATCAAGCTCAGTTTGTTCGTCATTGTTGACGTCCGTATCATTATTAAAAGAGTTAACTGATTGGCCTTCGCTCAAGTCGAGGGTTTCTTCCATATTGTAAAACACATCTGAGGCATTGACATTATTTTCTCTTAGCCTATTGCCTAGTTTTTCGATATGTAATGGACTATCATACTGTGGTATATATGGTTTTATATCCAATACAGGAGTCTGATTAACCATATCGACTCCTTCAAAATAAATCGTATGATTTTCAATTTTTAGTATCTTAACCAGACTAAGGCCAATAGGACACGGTCGATGTGGAGAACGTGTAGAAAAAACACCTGTTCTTATTCCATTCAATCTTGGTGGTGCTACCTTTGCACGAGTGTGTGTCGAATCATTTCTATGAAAGTGAAATAAAATCCTATTGGAAAGAAAAAACAAAGAATATTATTTAAGATTTTATTAAGGACATTAAAATTATACTGTTTTAAAGAATTATAGTTCTTTTACCACATATGGGAAAAATCCTGCAAACCCTGTAAGGCATGATCTGGATTGGTAAATATAGAATTGTAAAGTGTCAACTTTCCTGGTACTTTTCCACATATGCCAGGTTGTCTAGGAGTTGCCCTTTTATTGGGAAACCAGGTAGAAATGACACCAATAGGTTTTAATTTAAGAACATCTTGATCTTTACTTGTGCCAGGCTTTGCTTCTTCCGAAGATATTAGTTTAGATTGTGATCGGGTTCCTCCATGTTTTTGTAATTCCAACAAACGTTTGATATTATCAACATCTTTATCAAGTATATACCTCAGACTTTTTACTTGTTGTCTGCAATATTAAATCAAACTATTTTTTACCAAGTTTCCTTAGTAAATTGGAGTTTGTAGCATTGTAATTATATTATCTTTTTATTCAATGGTTTCATGATTAGCATTTCATAAAATATTTATATTAAATGCAAGATATGCGACTATGAATACTACATTTTTAAAAAAGTTAAGAAAACATGATGTTATACGCTACATCAAAATGAAGAGAATTTTTATGATAGTACCTCAAATTATTAATCTCTTGTCTAGCTGTATTCAATTGACCGAGCAAATAATCGGCACTTATACTAGAATTTCGGCAATTCAAATCCATGTTCGTTGTCGCTCGCATTTACACGATACTATTTAATATTATTCCTTTCTGTAATAACAGATACTTTACGGGATACGGATAACCTCTACATTGCCTACGAAGTTCCTACTATTCCTACCTGCCCATTGTTCCGTGTATTTCAGAGGCATCGGAAGTTCAATTAATTTTCAATTTCCGGATTTTGAGGTAAGGCGCAGCAGTATCGTTGTTTCTAAGGCTGCATTTTCATGTTGACGCTCGATTTGAGCATCAAAATAGGTCACGTGATCAAAATTGACGAATATTAAGCATTAATTTTGATCACGTGATCTGTTTTGACGCTGAAAATGAGCGTCGAACGTTAGCATGAAAAAGCGTTACAGTCGAATAACAGGAAAATGCTCGATTGTAATTGGTTGGTTCTTACATTCTGATCTGGGAGTCAATTCTGTATCTTTAAACAAATGCTCAAATTTGCTCACTTTTATAATTTTCAGCTCGTTTCAAGATACAGAATCGATTCCCCGGTTTAAACCTTCGATGGAAACTAGGTTAGACGACAAGAAAGTGGACAAATTTAGACAAATTGAGGATTAAGCATGGTGAAAGGGATAAGAGTCTGAGCACAAGAATTGTCGTAAACTAAAGGCCTCAACACAGACTTTTGCATAACGCGTAGTTGCATAAGCAAATCAACAAATCAGAATCTTTTCTCCTTCTTTTTCTCCCATGGAAAAGAAGCATTTTGATTGGCTCATTCTCTTATGCATTATGCATTATATACGTTATACAAAAGTCTGTGCTGCGGCCATTACTTTAGAGACTTATGCCCATTTCCATCAATGTAAATTAACTTTAATCCCAGTTCAACTTACTCTTCGTCTTTTTCTAACATTTAGAACTAGAAAAAGATGAAGAGTAAGCTGAACCGAGATTAAATTAAATCCACGTTAGTGGAAACGAGCATTAGTTGTAAACATAAGTAAGCCCGGATCCTCATACAGACAACAGCACTTTGACACAGAGCGCTGATTGGTGAAAAATCTGTTGTAGCGGTAAAATTTACCTCCATTAGCCGTTTTTCACTAATTAGCGTTCGGTGTTCAAAGTGCTGTTGCCCGTATGAAGATCCGGGCTAACGCACAAGTTTTGACGTATGACGTCTCTTGGAGACACGGCAATAAGTTGTACGTCATACGTGAAAGCTTGTGCATTACTTAAGCCCATGACACATAACACGTAAGCAATAAGAAAATCATAAGATTGAATTCGCTACTGGCCTTACGATCTCGGTGATTGGGTAATTCGCTTACTGATTACGTCTTACGGCCTCACGTTTTGTATGTGCCGTGAGCTTTACGTCTACAATTTAAGTCTAAAGCCTATTCTATGTGTTCTTTGTTTTCTGTTTCTTATTTTTTACTTTTTGCTTTTTTCTCTTTTGCAACTGTTTTATCAACAATTGTATTTACGTATTGCTTGTTTCTTTTGAAGTTTATTAACTTTTATCTCAGGCGATATAAAACAAAACCGGATAAGAAGCAAAAAGACAAGATATAAAAAATAATAAAAAGCAAGAAACAAGGAACAAAAAGCACATTGTAGAACAGGCTTAAGTAAGTGTTACAATTCATGTGCTCAGATCCTATCATTCTTCTTTTTTTTCTTCTTCTTATCGGTGGCGCCTACCTCCCATATATATTGAACGGAGACAATAATGTCTTAAGATGCTAATATAGTCCTCGGATTGACTTGACATCTTAAGATTGTATTTAAGACAGTCTTAGCATCTTAAAACATTATTTAAGACTGTTTTCAAATAAAAACGGACTATGAATATTGCCCCATGTTTAGCGTTTCATAGTTGGCAGCCTTTTCCTCTGATGCGACATTCATAGGTAGAGGTCTAATTTTCACCAAGGGTTTAATCCGGATCAGGGCCTTTATTTTTGAAAAGTATCGCATATGAAAAACTAGGGATGTACTATAATATTTGTTACGTATATTATAGCATATCCTAGTTTTTCGTATGCAATACTTTTTAAGAATAAGGGCCCAGAATGTAAGAACTAACCAACTACAGTCGAGCATTCTCCTGTTGTTCGACTGTAACAGGGGTTGGTTCTTACATTCTGATCCGATTTAAATTCTCGATGGAAACTAGGCTAGTAAAAAACTAAGTACAAGCGTGTAAAATATGTCAATGTTACCCACTTTTCCAAAAGTTATTTGGTAGCCGTACTTATTTTGCAATAAAATCTTCAAAAATCACCAATTCTGACAAAACTATAACTTAAGTTAAAATTATAAATTATACTCTAAATAAAAATCATAAATCTATTATTGATACTTTAAATAT